CAAATGCCACCTTCTCTGCTAAGCGTGAAGAGAGTGGGCAAGCCAGCGAGAGAGTACTGGCCGAAGTTTCCTGCCCCTCGGGCCACCCCAACCACAGTGCAGGCACTGGGATCGCGGGCAGTCTAAACACAGCAAGGAAACCAAAGGACAACGCAAGACAGGATATCAGGCTTCCCAGGCAGTTTGACCTGCCCCTCACGGTGATGCCCTCCATGGAGAATGAGAAAGGAGCCCAGCCAGAGGGCCAGAAGGCCACCGACCGGAAGGGAAGTGGCCAGGCAGGGAGGGGCAGCAGAGCACCCTCCCCTGGGGAGGCTTCCCAAGCTGCGGCCTTATCTAGAAGCAGTGGAGACGCTCACCGACATCCCTCAGCCAAGGTCAGGGCTAATGCACAAGGAGGGGACTCTGAGACAGACAGGTTCTCTCAGGGGACCTTCACCCTTCTGAGGTCTGTGTTTTGGAAGAAGAACAAGAAGCACGACAGGGGTGCGGCGGACCCCCAGGTGTCCCCAGTCTCACTGGGGAGCGGCCGGCTGAGCCCAGCCGTGGCCGAGCAGGCTCGAGGCTTGTCCCCTTCGCTGAGGATCCCGGACAGTCTGGCCAGGGGCTCAGCCAGCCGCCTGGAGGGGGCTGTCCAGTCCACGCCCAGCTCTGTCCACCTCCCTCGAAAGGCCAGCAGGCCCACAAGGACCAGTGCCCTGAGCATGTCCCAAAGGAGTGTTCCCAGGGAACAGACTTCTTTCAGCCCCTTGCAAAAGGTGAAATACCACACTCTTTCCTTAGGTCGAAAGAAAACATTACCAGAGTCCAGCTTTTGATGGTGGATTCCAGTATCACGTGAAGCTGGCATGCTCGCAACTCGGCATGGAGCAGCTATAAGGCAGCCTGTGTGGAGAGTGGGATTTGGGGAAGCCAGTTGTCTTGTGACCCCTGAACAATGAAAATTTTTTGGTTTCGACATCTAGATTTCTAACACCTCTTATCCAAATACCTTCCTGTACTGTTGGCTGCTTTTATACTTACAGAACACCAGAGGGTGCCTTGGATCAGCATTACTATTTTTAGGCAAGAACTGATGTTTTGTTTCAATTCCAGGACCTGAGTACCTGCATTAAAGAGCCACTGGATGTGGGCAAACCTTACAGTGTAACACTTCAGGGAAGCCTAGTGAATACGAATCCTAAGTATCAAGTCAAATATTGGCTTCTCCTATTACAAAAGGTTTAATTTATTTATTTCATTTTTTATTATTTTTTTTTATAGCTGAGCCATCCTGCCACCTGTTGGCCAAAATGTTTAATTTAAATAGTTGACGTTACAGGAAAATCTTTTTCTTTTAATGCTTCTCTGGGATAAAACA